TGAATTTTACAAAAAAAAGCTCAGAACTTTTTTGTACACCTAATATATATATATATAATCTATAAAATTTTAATAAATATTTGTGCAAAAATTTATTTGGATCTATTTTGTTGCATAATGCCATTATTTATTGTTTTGTTTTTGTAGTTGATTTCAAAACGTATTTATAATAAAAATTATGGCTAATATTTATGTTTAGCTAATTTTTTGGTTAATATTTTTAGCTGATAGCCAAAACGTCCTTAACTTTAATGATTCAATTAACTCTTTATGCTTTTTTTAGAAAAAGCTGATTAGAAAAAGATGAAGAGTATAAGCTGAACTGAGATTAAAGTTAAAGATGTTTTGTGTGAGCAAAAGTGTAAGGGAGGAGGAGGGAAAGAAAGAGAAAGAGAGAGGGGGGGGAGAGAGAGAGAGAAAGAGAGAGCACGTCTGTAAATATAAAATTTTGTGAATAAGCGTGGGACGTGGTTGCCCTTCGAGGTCACGGAGAAGCTGTCTCACCGAGAGACCCCCACGGCCGGGGACGCCGGGGACGCCGGGGGGACGCACCGGCAAGAGAGCACTACAAATTTAGAAACGCGGTCGGAGCGCGGACCGGCGCAACTCACCGGTTCCTAGATCATCCCTGACGTGTGCTGCGACCAGCACGCAGTGTGCTATGTCGAAATACGGGAACATTTTCAGCTTGATAACCTGATTGGCCATATCCAGGAACGCTTCGGGATCCATGATCGTGGATGTTGATCGTTGCTCGCTCGTCGCTCGTTTTAGCCTGACCGTATATACGATGTACCACACGACGTTCACACGCCTCAGCACACTTCACGCGAGCACCACGACTCGTATACTCCTCAACAACTTCCTCGATTCAAACGCTCGCGATCGAGCGCCCGCGAGCGACGCCAGCTACGCGTTGTCTGCTATCGTCGTCTGCTAGGCTATTCCAACCTAACTTAACCTCGCGCTACATAGCAATTATATAAAAAAAAGAAATCATAATTTCTTGCCTTATCGATTAAGTGCGCGCAGTGTTGTTTCTTAAACAGTTTCTCTAACAGTGTATAGATGGCAATAAAGCATTGCGAGTGTTGCCTAAAGATTTCTGTATTACCTAATATTTCTATGATAACAATAAAGATTTCTACATTATCGGTGTAATTATTTGAATGATGCTTTCTAGAAATTTGGGACGTTTTCGAAATAATATTCGGAAACTATCCGAGTATCTCCGAATATTATTATATTTTTGTTTAACATTTGGTGAACAACTAAATGTGTGATACTTGAAGCATCGATCATGAGCACCGATAAGAGACGGCCAGCCCTGAACAAATTTTATGATCATCAAAAGGGACTGATGATAATTAAAAAAGCGATAAAAAATAATTTCAATTGCTATAAACAATCAAATAAACAAATAGTGACTTTTACATAATTTATTACACACATTATACATATCTACTTTTGATTATAAGGGTCTGTAAGTGCTCACTCTTTTGTTATCCTACCTCGATAGACACGCTTATGAGCAGTGTCTATAACGTCACGGTGACGTCAGAATGTTTCTCTATCTTTCTTTACTTATGTAAGCGACGCTTATCACTATTTAAGGTGCGTGAGCGTAAAATAAACGCATCCATAACGGCGAGTGAGCGTAAAGTAAACGCACCCATAACGGTTATAGAGGAAGATAAGTTTAATGATGACAAATAGACTGCAAATACGAAGGTACCGTTATCACATTTATAGTATTTATTAAAACACAATTCAATGGCTTCGGCCATTTTTAACTTGGGCTATCTACGTTTACCCAATCAGAAATGATGTCGATTCAATTGATCAAATGATGTCGAAAGCATCAAATCGACGTCAATTCAATGTCGATTTTATTATCATTTCTTTACTATAGGCATGTGTTGCACGCTCGCTAAATATATTCCTGACGTCAAGAAATAAATGAATTTACGTAACAGATAATAAAGGCAAAGAGCAGAATGATGCGCAATTGCTGCAGTATAGAATGTGTAATTTTGTGATTGAGAAGTGTCTAGTGTCGAGATTGATTGGTATTCTTGTACTCTCTTTCATATAAAGCATTTATTAATATTTTAGTCATGTCTAGAAATATACAGAAGTATACAGCATTGATTAATTAGTTATGCAATTTTTTAAAATGTAGTCGACAATAATGAGAGAAAAGGATCGTGGAAGACGACATCTCTCTCTCATTTTTCTTCCATCACACCGTTGAATGGAAAGAGAGATACAGATTGGTAGTCTTCCATGATTCCTCTCTTTTTTATCGATCATTTTAACATACGGATCGCGCAGCCCATTCTCTATGTCTTTGATGTGTAATATATTTCTTTATATGTATTTTTATATGTATAATATATTTTTATTCATATATTTAAATATATAATAAATATATATGTATGCAGAATGTAACTAAAAAAATGTATATGGAGCATACCATGAGATAAACTCATGGCACATACAAAAACGTAAGGCCGTAAGAAAGATTCAATAATCTTCGCTGCTCAATCTTCACTGATTCAATATTCTTCGCTTCTCCCGCCGCGAAATCGCCAACTCCACTCCGCTTTGCCACGTTCCTGTATTCCTTCTATACTAGGGTGCTAACTTTAACATCGTATAACAACGAACCGAAAGCTCAGATCAAAAAATGACTCAAGACTTTTCTACTTGAATTCTTGTCCTGTATCTCACGGTATGCTTCATATACATTTTTTAAAATACATCCTGTATATATATAATAAAATATATATATATATATATTTTTTTTTATTTAGTATTAGTATCACTAAATTTGTAAGAATTCAGAATATAAGGATTTTGATTCAACATTAATTAATAATAAAAAAGGATGGGTTAAGTTTTAGATGTTTTTAATATGAAGAAGTTCCGAGGTATGTACAAATTATATTAAAGATTGTTTAAGTGGATTTGAGTGGTATTTCGATTATTATATTAAACTCGTACAAAATCATTATTAAAGATAATAGATATAAACGTTGTTAAATAAGATATCAACATATCCCGGGAATGAACAACAAAAATTTGTATTGTTAGTATTTGTATATTAGTACTTGTAAACATATATAACTTGATAAGTATGTTATATTCAAAGCTAGAATTCAAAACTAAATAATTATTTTATCAGATTTTGTTCGTCAAAATTGTTCCAAAATTTTTTATAAGTTATATATGCTACAGCTATAACAATAGTCTTGATATTTTATTACTTCACGTTTTGTCAAGAATGGAAAGTAATAAGTAACAACGTTACTTTTATCATTACTTTATAATAACAGTTTGGTGATAAAAATTACTTTATAATAACAGTTTGATGATAAAAATACAATGTCATTACTAAATTATTATTACAAAAAAAAAACAGTAAAAGTAACGGTTTCTATGCTTTTCATTAATAAATATCATAGCACATGAAATTTACTTTTGATAACAATTTGTCTCATATTCCCGATATGGGTTTTTCTAAAATACATATACATCAATACATTTGTCGACTCCGTTTAAGTTATCCTTTAATATGATATATTTATTAATAATTGATTATATTATATAATTTGTACATTTCGAAACTTTTTTATATTAACTAAGAAACATTAAAAAATGTTTTTTTTAGATTTTAACATTCTTCTTTTCTGCAAATATAATTACCATAAATATCTATGATATAGATATTATAGATATCATAGATATCATAGATAATTACACACAATTTAGTTTTGTTGTACATCATATATACATTATTAATACAAAGTTTGCATATATGTTAATCTTTCAGTGCTGCGCTATAATAATGACATACTTTGGTATGACATACCTAATCTAATTCGATTGCTTGTAACTTTTATGAAAATAAATATGTTGTAAAGAATACTTTTTTTAATCAAAAAACTAGATATTAAGAAACATAACGTACTAACTAAGCAAATGTATCTTTGGAAACGAAAAAATTGATATGTCATTATTACTCAATAAAAAAATAGAGAATATTTTTAAAACATTTAAAATTTTACAATTTTTGGATCACCAAAAGTTGGTAAAAAATTATCACTGATAAAAAAAAAAATAAAAAAGCTTTTAAAGCTTGAAACTCTTAAGCCTGATCTACAATTGTAAACGTAGTTGTAAGTAGTCGTAGTTGAAACAGTTTACCAATTACAGTCAGATATTCTCCTCGTATTCAAGTGTGATTGGTTAATTCTTACAACTACAACTACGTTTACGCAATCGTAGATCGTTTTATATTTCTGCATTCAATAGTAATTCGATACAAAATTTTTTCTCAAAAAAATGTAATACTTTTACAAAACAGTGTTTTATCCACAAAACGCCCTTTAAAAATTTTCTTACAATTTTTCTTAGCCGAATTACGCAACTTTGAAGCTAAACTTGCATTTCTTATAACCAACGTTGAAATTCGATAAATCATTGAAAAAATTTTTATATCTTCTCAATTCTGCAGAATTAAATTTATAACAATCAAAAGTATGTTAAAATACAAATTTCGAGCTTCCGAATACTTTTTGCGATTCTTCGCCGATTTTTAAAATTTGATTTTAAGAAATGCATATTTAGTTTTAAAGTCTAGTAATTGATCAGTTAAGAAAAATCGTAAGAAAATTAAAAAAAATATTTTGCAGATAAAACTTTGTACTTTTTTTTTGTAAAAGCATTAAACTTTTTAGAAAAATTTTTTATTAAATTGCAAATTATTAAATGTACGTAGTTTTAAAGAATCTAACTGTGCTATTTAAAGATACTGAACAGTAAAAATAAAAATTTTTTGGAGAAACAGCCAAAAGCATGTTAAAATACAAGCTCAAAAATGCTTTTTTACTTTTTAAGAAATAAAAGCTAAATGGCCAAGCTTGGATCCTTCGATGTGAAACAATTCCATGTGAATTTATATTCCACAATCCTTCAAACTGCGCACCGAATTTATTTTCAGACATAAAACGCAATCCTAACAAGTCTGGAGCAGTAATATCACAAATTAAATTGATAAGTGATTTAATAATATTGATGCTTGTAAGTATATCTTTATAATGATCTTTAAGCAACTTAAAACTATAAATAATATTATTGCAAAAAAATATTACCTTGACCGGGGATCGAACCTGGATGTCATGCGTGACATCCTTTATTTCTTGTTGTGTATTCATATCGTGGTTTAAAGTGATACTTTAATATTGTTTTCATTTTTTTTCTGAAATGATTTTTCACTAAGTTTCGATGATTTGAAAATTGTGCAATTTTGAGCGTTTTGAGTATATTTTTTAATTTTTGTTAAGTATGTGTGTACCAATAAAGTAACATCGAAGAATTATTAATTATCGTATATATTACTTACTCAACATTGCATCGAATAACTGTTTACATGCAATTAAATGTAAATTAAAGTAAATGTATCAATTCAGTCAATGTCAATAATAATTTATAGTAGTAGGGAAATAATAAATTCTACGAGCCATGTACATACAATACTTATATATACATTATTAATAGTTTACTTATGTAACTCTTTTTTTTATTTTTCATGTATTATCGTATACTTAAATTATCCAGCAAATAATATTACAATATTGTTAGCTCATTATGTAATAAGACAATTAATATGATAAAATCTGTTGATTGTAGAATGAAGATAAGAGAGAATACACTAAATATACTAAGGCATTTAATCTTGAAATTTGATTTGAAGACTACGTAGAAGACTTTCAAGTTTGCCACAATAATGTCGAGTTATTTCATTTTGTTGCTCCACTTTGTGTGTTGTATTTTAATCGGCTTCGTGACAACATCAAAACCATTGTCAATTTTATTAATAGAGCCTGTTGGATCGCCCAGCCATCATGTTTGGACGATGAATTTGATTAAAGGATTGCTTCGCAAAGGCCATCATGTACACGCAATAAGCACATATGAGACTAACATCAAAGATAAACTTGCGCAGAACTTAACATATGATGTAAGTAAATGTTATGGGACTTGAACCATTTTGAATATAAATTGAATATTTTAAATTTGTGAAACAAATGCGAAAGAATGTAATTTTTCTGTTTTAAAATATTTTATATTGTACGTATCTCGAATCATTGTATTAGCTGAGCTCCCAATATATTTTCATATTTCTATAATATATACTTTTTTCATCAACAGTAAAGAATATTTATTTTTTTCAGGTATTCGATGGTTTGATGAAAGTAATAGAAGAATCTGAAGAGGATTTTGATCCAGTTAAATGGGAACAGTATAACGTATTTTATATGATGTATTCTGCATATCATTGGGGAATTTATGCATGTGACTCAGTGATAAAAACTGAAGCAGCGAAAAAGCTTTTAGAAATGATCAAGACTGTCGAGTTTGATATTATATTGCAAGATGTTACATTTAATGAATGTTTATACGGATTGTGGGAGGTAAAGATAAAGCGATTTCTTAAATATTAGTGCAGTCTTAATTTATTTTATCTATTTATTACAATAGATTTAGCTATTTCTATTGTTACTCTGTGGATATTGTTTTTTAGATTGCTAAAGGTAAACCATCCATAGTAGGATATATTCCGTATAGCGCTGCACCTTGGCTCAAAGATATTATCAGAGGTCCAAGTTATCCAACTCTTCGATCTTATGGATATTTACCCATTGCAAAACCTATAGGTTTGTGGCAGAAAACATGGAATACTGTATGTTTTACTGTTGATGATTTCACACGACATTACTATTACTTGCCTATTATGCAACGACTTGCTGAGAAATACGTAGGCCACTCAATTAGATCATTACATGAAATAGAAAAAAACAGTATTAATATTATACTACTCAATAGTCATCCTGCATTTGAGCATGGGATTCCATTGCCTCCGAACACTTTGGAGATTGCAGGACTGAATGCTCAGGCCATAAAACCGATTGATGGCGAAATAGTCGTAACATATCCCGAGGTAAGAGAGATTGTATATTATATTTAGATCAAACAAAATAGCTAGTCTATATTTGCCGAGTGATCGAATGTAATTGGTTGGATAGGTAAGAAGTAATCATGTTTAATCGCTCGACAAGTAGGTTAACTGAAGGCTAGCTACAAGTAACAGTTTTACATGTATCTATTTTTCTACTTAGTTTTAAAACTAATAAAAATTGCAAAAAATATATATTAGCAAAAAATTATATATACTGAAGAAATTTAATGAGATGGTCTCATCGAATTATTATTTATATTATTTACTTTCGAATTTTTAAAACGATTTTCAGTAAATATACAAAGTTACATATAAAGTAATTATACGTTGTAATTTCTCACTGAATATTATAACTGTAACATAACACATTATAGTTATTATCGAAATATTTATTTCACAGGATATGCGCGCATTCCTTGATGGAGCAAAAGATGGAGTTATTATAATATCATTAGGAACAAATGTGAAATGGAAGTTTATCGGATTAGACAAAGTTAAGACTGTTTTATTGGTTCTGTCGAAATTAAAACAACGAGTATTATGGAAGCTAGATATTGAAATGCCATTTGAAATACCGGACAATTTGATGATTGTAAAATGGATGCCGCAACGCGAAGTTTTATGTACGTTTTCTAATTCTTAGAAAAATATAAAAAAAACGTGATAACCGATATATATTTTCTCCATAATTAGACTTTTTTTCATATTTTCTTTTATTAACGTGTAAATTCTTTTTAATTAAGTTCATAATTTAATCTATTTTTATTCATAATTTATTCAAATATCTATGAAATTATAAATGTTTTTTTGTGATATTATTTAAAAAAATAGCATTGACTAGAATATAATTTATAATTAAGAAAATTATTAATTTTTATACTGTCGATGTGAATTGTTATTTCAATCATCATTTTAGTATTTCAATAAAGTTTCGCAATACACTTAACAAAAACATTGCATATAATAACATTGCATATTTAAATATTTTAGTTTTAAATGGTTCTTGAATAATTATATAGTAAAATTTTATTTTAATAATGAATATGGTACTTGTTATAACACAGTAACCGAGTAAATGAGAATGGATTAAAATGAATTGAAATTTTAATCTATTTTTTTGTATCTATTCGAATGCGTACTTCAGCATATGGTCCATTTTTTCATTTATTTGGATGAAAATTTATGATTGGATTGAAAAATTGCATTTCCTATTTCAAATTCAAAAATATTCTCATAAGATATAGAAAAAAAGCTGATGTTATTTTTAGATTAAAAGATATAGAAATGTGCTTTATTCATATGCGATGCCTATAAATGAATAAAAATACATTGCAATCATATAGGATTTATTTTAACGTTCTCGAAAGCGTATTCCTGAAAATTTGAATCTATTTCAATCCATGTCAATTTATTCTCATTTAGTGGAGGAGATTTTGTTGCATTAGATTTACATATCTTATTATCTCTACAATAATGTTTAAATAATTTTGTTTTTTTTTGTAACAGTTTCTTGTTGACATCTGTAGATAATCTTAATTTTTAAATATTACAATTATATTTTATAATCTTTTTATAATAACAGATTAGCATTTTTAAATGAAAATTGGTTTTTCTAAAAATGATTTTTAGATGAATTGAACAAAATTAGATTTAAAAATGCATTATATTAATAAAATGTTTATATGAATGATTCATTATAAACAATTGAGATTTTTATTATGATAAATTTTTATGTGCAGCTCATAAGAATGTCAGAGCAATTTGGACTCATGGTGGTCTTCTCAGTACACAGGAAGCCATTTGGATAGGTGTACCAATGATTGTAACGCCTTTCTACGTAGACCAAAAATTCAATGCACAAAAAGTAGTAGCTAAGGATGTTGGAGTATATTTAGATATTAATACATTGTCCACGCGGACTGTATTACATGCAGTTGAAGAAATACTTTACAATAAAAGGTATCAAATTTCGATTACGTTTTAATATCATAATTATTATAAACATTAAATTAACATAATTAAATTAATATATAAGAGTTTATTTGACGTCACCTTACTATACTATTGAAGTACTTTTATTAGTAAAAAGAATTAAAAGAATGAAAGTTAATTAAAAGTTAGAAGCAAAAAAAAACATTGAAAAAGATGGAAAAAAGTTAGGTATGCTTATAACGCGAATTTATAAGTTAAGATATACGAATGTAAGATTATATTACATTAATTGTAAAATATGTTTGGTGCAGATATACAAGAAACATGAAACAATTATCTAGTGAATACCGAGATCGACCAATACCGCCGTTAGATTTAGCTATTTGGGGCATTGAATATGCATTCCGACATCCAAATGGGACTTTAATAACTTCACTTAGGTATCAAAGCTGGATAAAACAAAATCTAATCGACGTTTATGCATTTTTATTCTTTATTTTTATTGTAATATTGTTAAGTATATTCTTAACAATAAAAATATTTATTAAGTTTTATTATTGGATATATACCACATTTAACAATAAATTACATAAAAGGAAAC